TATGGTATATAGATTACACATGTCTAACACATGTTGAGACATCAATCTCTGCAAAATAACACATGGACATAATACAGCAGACTGGTATAAAACTTATCAGTCCAGAGTCGTAACAGATGTTCTAATATCTTATACGACATGTAAATCAATCAAGAACAAAACTGAACAATGAAGAATGATAAAAACACAAGATATGATAACCTAGTTCAGTGTACATCTGAGGGCTACCAAGCCAAAAAGGAAGTTCACTATCAGCAGTATTAGTTCAAAGTTAAACTCTCATGTTTACAACTTCTCGCCTAATCCCTACCCAATGCAACTTCTACCTAGGTTCTCCCTAAATATAAGAAATTGACATCTCACTTCCTAAATCACCTCGGTGATATTTATATCAATTACAACCAGTTCAGTCAAGACTCTTGACTAATAAATATACTTGGATTTGCTTCAAAGCTTCATCCAAGAACAATACATGATTCATTACCTAAAGACTTCTGAATTTGCATAAAACCATGTCTACCATAATGTATCAAATCGATACAAAGGATGACTTACAACCTAAGAAAGTATTCGAATTTCAAAATCTTAAACCCTTATTTTCCTTTCTAACTTTGATACCAGTGGTTTAGTTAATTTTCCCTAGGACTAAGTCTTCCTTTAATAATCTTCAAGAAACTGGATCCGGGCTTCAGAACAGCAGTTGATTTGTTGCGGAAAATCAACAGAAACTTCTCCATGAAGATAGGGCTTCAATCATAACCTTTCTAATTTATCTCCATAATTAGAAAGTCATAATTCTCCTTGAAATCAGTTTAATCTTCTTCAATCTTCAAACTGAGCGTCACATAGGATAGCATAATATTTCAAAATTTTCTGCACATGAAATATATCAATTAAATCTAACTGTCCAACTGGTCACAGACGCGATGTCGAATGATTCTTCATAGGACATTTTCATTCGACATGTCTCTATAGTGATGAAACGTGTTAGTTCAACACTTCTGAGTTCTTAGACTTGAACACAACATATGACTACTAAATGTTCCCAGAATGATCCACATTTGTAAACCACTCAAAGAATCCAAACAGCCAATTATACCAGCCAGGATGTCGGATGATCATAATGAGACATCTTGTTCAACATCCAATTTTACCAAAATTATTCAAATCTTTAGAGTTCAAATCTTTAGAGTTTACAAAGATCAAGAAACTTAGCCAAGAAGAATACAGTACAAGCAGTATACCACAAATTCCACTATCATGATATTGGTTGTACTATTCACAGAAGTTGTCTCCCACGATCTTATGCTAACAACTGCAAGCAGCAGGTTAAGGAAAGTGACATTTTGTACTATTTCAAACCTCTCTTAAATCTATCTGTTGGGAATCAACCATTGAAAGGAGAAATGACTTTTCTACCCTTACAACGACTCTTTTGAAAGCTATAAAAGCAGATCAATAAAATGAAGTTAAGTTGCTAAAAAGTCGTGGATGCAAATGTTGTTGAAGCTCTTACGTTGTACACACTGAAGCCAACCACAAAGAAAAGAGATGAAAAGGAAGAAAGAATAGAAAGAAGAATTCTACAAGATGCTACACAAATTCCCATCAAATACATCTTGGTAGAAATATGAAGAAGCAAAGAGTTGTTGCTCATAACTTGATAAACGAAGAAGATGAAGAAGAAGAACACTACAAGATGTTACTCAACTTCTAATCAAAAACATCTTTGTAGATTAATGTAAAATACACAAGAGTTGTTGCTTATATTGTGTTATAGTTTTAGTTCTTCATGTAAATTGTTTGAACACATGAGTTATTGTTCATAATTGTGTTAAACAATATGTACTTAAATTAGGAGTAATCTGCTTGTTAAGAATCACTTATGTAATCTCCATAAAATCAATTATGTTTAGAATTTGTGATGCCTCAAGTGATCGAGCAAGATATGTATACTTGAGAAGACTTTGACAGCTGGTCATTGTAGATGAAATTCTGTTAAGAAAGACTAGGTTGGTCAGATCTCTTAAGGGGTCAATGATCGTTATATCTCGTGGAGATTGAAACAATTAGGAAAATAATCAAACAATGAAGTCGTCATCGAATATTTATTTTATCCCACAAAAGGGAAAGGAAAACATCGAAGAAAATTTGAGAAGAGAGAAATCAAGGTCTCGCGACCAAGAGATCGAATAAGTGAGTCGATTATGCAAAGGGAATGTATTAGCACCCCTCACGTCCGTGGTACTCCACGGGATCCACTCTTATTGTTCTAACCAAATGGTGTGTCAAATCTAAAGCTAACAAGTTAAGGGAAACTGCATGAATGCAAAGTATATACACAAAAAGAAAGATTTTTATTAATTGTGTCCACCGCAGTTGCGAACCTTTGTGCTTATGTACCCCCTTAATGCAATAGAGGATCATAATACTCGTAGTTCACCTAAAAAGGTGTTTTGGTTTGTTTTGTATTTTTTAGGCAGATAATGTTATATTCGCACTCTAGCAGTTGACATATTGCAGCCCGACCTTTGGGGACTTGTGCGTCATTTTGTACATAGTGGAAATAACACATGTTTTTTATGAAAATGTTTTCAAAAGAAAGAGACCGAAGGAAAAAGTGTTTGAATTTGTTTGTATTTTTTATCTTGAAAAGGATTTGGTGATTTGAACCACATTAAAGACTATGATTCAAAGAAAGCACAAGGTTGAGAATGCACTTCATACTTCTCCCAATACTTAAGGTTCGTGACACATGATTAACATCATTGTTGTTAAGTGTTTTTGGAGTTTGATTAAGAAAAAGATATTTTAGTTGTAAAGATGCAAAAGGGAGAAGAAAAAGTCTAAGGAAGACTAAAGATCCTAATGTTGTCATGTACAGTGGTCCTAAAGTTAGGATGAAGGGAAAACTATCTATTATTAGCATGCACAGATATCAATCCTAAAGTCTATCTCAATTCAAATCTTGACTAAGATTGAATCAAGAAATCCTATGGGAACATAACAATCTCACAAAGAAAATAGTGCACAAGTGTGAAGTATCTCTACACAAGCAAAGAGACATAAGTACCACATCCAAACAAGCAATGTGGAAGAAAGAAACAAGTATCACATCCAAATAAGCAATGGGGAAGAAATAAACAAGTATCACGTCCAAACATTGCCTACAATGGTAGGACTTCCAGATCAAACATTGCCTACAAAGGTAAAACTTCCAATCATGCATATTTATCTTACTTCTCATGGCAAGATTAATTGAAAACTATGCAAGAATGAGATAGTAAAGAGATCTCAAGTGATACCTAATGGAGAAGGTTTGTCGCTTTTCAATGCGCGCTAAACTCAAGAATCCTCGCGGAAGCCTCACCGACAAAGCAATCAAATTAGTATTCAAATGCACAAAGATTGCGTCAACAATCAATATCAAGTAAGAATAAATCACAAGTAGAAAGTACTTGAGATAAATCCGAAGTATCGGATAAGAATTCTAATTCTTGCATCAGATGAAAAATAGTGCAACCAGACAAAACCAAGATAAACAGATATGAAACAAATGTCTAACTAATAAATTAAGAGTTGATCAAATTAATTAATTAGATTAAGAAAAATTAATTAGCAAAGCTAATTAATTTTAGTAATAAAATTAACTAACTAAATTGAACTTTAATTAATTAATTAAAAACAACAAAGAGAGGCTAAGAGGATATGAGTGCTTGAACCATCTCTGGAAGCCTTCACAATAAAAAAACTTGTTAGTAACACAAGAGAGATTAAAAAAGACAAATGAACTTGCATCAAATTAAATGTATTAGTAACCAAATTTCACAATTAGAAATCAACATAGATGCATAACCAAGCAAGAACATGAATCAAATCGCAATTAACAATCACAATTGACATCAACTTGTGAATTAACAAGGATATAGTAAGACAATTAGCAACCAAAAGTTCATGAGAGTTTCAAGTTTCACAACACACTTAAATCAACATTAGGAGCACAACCACATATTCTACTCATAAAAAACAATCAACCATTATGAATAATCTCATGATATCTCAAATTGAATCAAGAATGAGCAAAACAAAAAATTAAATTAAGACTTTAGTCCCTTTACAAAATCTGCGCAGCAACACACATTACGCAAGAACGCTCAAGAATTTCATCTCAAATAGATTCAAATCAAAAGGGAAGATGAAATTTATAAGTTACATCAAATCATATTCAATCAAGAACAATTTCGGGTCAACACAAATGCTCAAAAAATGTCACTAAAAATGACTCAGAGTTAGACACTGACACCTTCGAAATTACCCGAAAAACCAATTAATTCAAATGAAATTGATGTCAAATTCAACCACAAATTGTCATTCCATTATCAATGTTCAATGCTAAGGTTAGCTAACAACTTTAACAACTTCAACACGTAAGTTCAAATAACTTCAAAGTTCTATTCAACAAAGAATCATCAATCAACTTTTGACTCAACAATGACCTCAACAAAAATCAATTAGTTTCAAAGTTCTAATATCAACAAAGAACAACCAACATATCATTCAAGCTTCAAGTGAATCCAAGCAATAACAACATCTTTATCTTCAATGAATTTCAACAATGTCATCATCACTTAATATTATCATACATGTTAATTCCATTCCATGTGAGAACAACAACAACATCACAATATCAACACTTTGTTACCACTAAATTTCCACATTAAACTCTCACTACCAACAATTAAATCCAACAATAGTTTCAATAATCCTCAAAACCAACCTCATAAACTTCCTATCAACAATTCAACACAACAACAATCTCATTATTAACATTCAACATTTCTCACAAAATTGTTACTAATTTCTCAAATTCAACAACAATATCAACACTAATTCTCAAAATAAATTCAGCACAAATATCACTATTCATCATCTTCAACCTTTCAACAACACCAAATTAATTTCAACTTTAAATCATTATTAACAAATCACCATTAATAAGATCACAATAAAATATCCTTCATCTTCAACCTCATTACAACAACAATTTCACCATCATCTTCACAAATTAAATCAACAACAAAACCATTATCATCAATTTCATCATTTACTAAACCCATAACAATATCATCATCAATTTCATTCAAAAACAACAACCATACCACCAATAAATCATTTATTAAATATGAAACAAACAAAACTAAAAGAAAAATGGTAAGAAGTTTACCAACAAAAATGGAGGAAAAAGAAAGGTGGTGGTGGTGATGATGTTCGGTGATGGTGGCCGATCGGAGGGAGTTTGCTTCGGAAGTTATAGAAGAAATTGAAATAGGATTTGGGTTTTATAAAGGTTTTGTTTGAATACCCATTTTTCCATGCCTTATTTTCAATTCCTATCTTGCTTCCTCCAAACAAGCCTTAGCCTTTTGTTCTCCTACAACTTCGTTTCTTTTTTTTTTCTCCCTGATACCTCAAACTCATTCTACTTAAATAACTAAAAACTCTAGGCTTATTAATTTTTCTCACGACTAAAAAGCCCTTTTAGATAAGAATTACATAAAAATCTAAAAGAATAAAAATTAACACATCTAAAAATATTTTAATTTTTTTTTTTTTAAATATGAATTTAAAATAATCAAAAACGATAAAATATAAATATTTAATTAATTAAAAAAAAGAAATGAACAGGTTAAAATAAACTATAAATCACAAGGATTAATAAAAAAAATTCAAATGATAAAAATCAAAATTAAAATAAGAATAAGAATATCAGGCTACAAACACTGACTAAAAAAGAGACGGTAAATTGTACTGAAAAAATAAAGCAAGCATACTGACATGATCCACGCGCAACGCAGATTCATAAGACATTCAGATAGTGGTGAAACTTGAAATATTTTCTTGCTAATTTTTTGCACAACATCGAATCGCTTTTAACAGTCTGTCCGTAAAACCAAAATATCGATATTATCGATATATAAACAACTTAATTTTTCTCAAGTGAAACGTTTAAACATGCATCATTAAACTTGTATCATTACATTGCATCTTCAAAATGTGTAGCGTTTCCATTGTATGGAGCATTACACTATAAAAAGAAAGTTCAAACATGCATTGAGGTATAAGCCGATTATGGTGTGCACCCGAAATAACCAGAGTTGTTATGTGCTCAGACTTGAATTACCTCCACAGCTTGTCCCAAGGGTGATTCTAACATGTTTCCCTAGTGGAGTCTGTTTTGGTTTATCACCATTTGGGTCTTTTGCCCCAGTGAGTTATGGATTTCCCTTGCCTCTACAAGTCTTTGGTTATTTTACCTGTGTTTGCTTTATTGTTAGAAGGCGAGTAAGGGTCAGTGTATAACCTTTCTTACATCTCAAGTATTTGAGTAACCATATTTGGTGTGTGATAATTCAGATAATGGTCGCTCTTGAAGAATCATACCCCACCTTTGGCTCGAGGGATATTGTAACTCTTGCATACTTGCAATCTCTTAAAGGTCTAATATGTTTTGGCAATCCTTGTTAGAGTTTCCCTCGGCTGGTTTCTTTCTCCTGGGACGTTCGCTTTTGATTGGTGTTCTGTTTGAATATGCTTTGTTCAGAATCCTTGTCCAATTCCCCCAGCGGAGTCTGTCACATATGTATCCCCAGTAAGTCTGCATTTGATTTGCGTTCTTTCTCCAAGAGTCTATCTTCCGCGAGTCTTTTTTTCATCGGCGGGTTCGCCTTCACTCGTTATATTCTTGGTTGGAGTCTGCTTTAGTCTGTCTCTTTTTCATATGTTTAACATCCCTTGTTTAGGTTCTGTTTTGATAAGTTGCTTTTCTCAGCTTTATCTGTTTGGATCGTTTTCACCTTCTGTTAGCTTAGCTAACATTTCTGGTTAGGTTATGTTTTGATCATCTCCTTTCCTTGTTTAGGTTTTGTTTTGATCAGTTCCTTTTCTCTGGTTTATCCGTTTGGATCGGGTTCACCTTCTGTTAGCTTAGCTAACATTTCTGGTTAGGTTATGTTTTGATCATCTCCTTTCCTTGTTTAGGTTTTGTTTTGATCGGATCCTTTTTCTCTGGTTTATCCATTTGTACCGGGTTCACCTTATGTTAGCTTAGCTAACATTTCTAGTTATGTTATGTTTTGATCATCAACTTTCCTTGTTTAGGTTCTGTTTTGATCAATTGATTTTCTCAAGTTTATCTGTTTGGATCGGGTTAACCTTCTGTTAGCTTAGCTAACATTTTTGGTTAGGTTATGTTTTGATCATCTCCTTTCCTTGTTTAGGTTTTGTTTTAATCAGTTCCTTTTCTCAGATTTATATGTTTGGATCGGGTTCACCTTCTATCAGCTTAGCTAACATTTCTGGTTAGGTTATGTTTTGATCATCTCTTTCCTTGTTTAGGTTCTGTTTTGATTATTTCCTTTTCTCTGGTTTATCTGTTTGGACCGGGTTCGCCTTCTGTTAGCTTAGCTAACATTTATGGTTAGGTTACGTTTTAATCATATCCTTTTCTTGTTTAGGTTCTATTTTGATAAGTTGCTTTTCTCAGCTTTATCTGTTTGGATTGGGTTCACCTTCGGTTAGCTTAGCTAACATTTCTGATTAGGTTATGTTTTGATCACCTCCTTCCCTTGTTTAGGTTCTGTTTTGATCATGCCTTTTCTCTGGTTTATTTGTTTGGATCAGGTTCACCTTCAGTTAGCTTAGCTAACATTTCTGGTTAGGTTATATTTTGATCATCTCCTTCCCTTTTTTTGGTTCTTCGTTGGTCAGTTCCTTTTCTCTGATTTATCTTTTTGGATGGGGTTCACCTTCGGTTAGCTTAGCTAATATTTTTGGTTAGGTTATGTTTTGACCATCTCATTTCCTTGTTTAGGTGCTACTTTGGTCAGTTACTTTTTTCTAGATTATTCGTTTTGATTGGTTCATCTTCTGTTGGCTTAGCTAACATTTTCGATTAGGTTTTGTTTTGACCATCTCTTTTCCCTGTTAGATTATGTTTTGATTAGTCTTTTTCTATGTGAAAAGAGCTGCGAAAGATGATTGTTCCGTTAAGCGGTGCTATGAAACAAAATTCAGGGTTTCCAAGTTTAAATGCACTCCACACAATTTCCAAGCTATTCAGTCTGCAGTTAATCAACTCATCATTATACCAAGTTCTCATGTATTTTATCATGCCTTGAATTGCGAAGGAATTCAAGCGTTTCATTTGATTTGAGACGGTGCAGACAAAAATTCAGCATTTTGCAGTTCGAGTTCAAAAATTCATAATTTGAGATCGGAAAATGGTTTGGGAATGGTTCTTTAGTATTTAGAATCATCTTGAGATCTTCTCTAGTGCATCTGTTCTGATCGAAGGCTAATTTAGTAAGGAAGATTTTCAAAAGCGCAAAATACCTGAAATCAAGTTATACAGTGGATTTGATGGTTCGCTGGTTTTTTGATGCTTAAAAATTCATAACTTCTAACCGGAAAAACATCTTTAGTGGCTCTTAGAGCATTTGAACTGTCTTGTTATTTCCTTCAATTTTTGTGTTTGGCTCAGAAGCCAATTCATTGAGGAAGATCTATGTATGTGCAAATACTCTGAGGATACACAGTGAAAATACAACGAAAACAATGTGCTAAACCGCTTTTTATTGGATGTTCAAAAATTAATAACTTTCGCCCGATTCAATGTTTTTGGATTATTCTTTGGGCTTAAAATTTTTCTTGATTTTATCTTCAATTTGTATGTTCGGGACAGAAGTTAACTCTTTGCAGAAGATCTCCGAAAGTACAAATTACTAGAGAAAATTGAACCTCGAAATGGTTTTCTACCGAACTGTTTCTCGATATTGTAAAAAACGTAACTCTCTCGATTTTTATCATATCGGGACGATTATTGAAGCGTGAGATTATAAATTTTGTTAGCTACAACTTTTCTTCAGGTCCCGAGTTCAGATTGTGCTTCAAAGGCTTCAGTTTAAGGCTTGTTTCCAAAGTCGTATACCAAAATAAGCTGAAAAATCTACACAGAGAGGTTTCTGTCAATCGTTTCTCGCTGTTTGAAGCATCATAACTCACTCAATTTTTATCGTGTCAGAGCGATTCTTTCGGCACTGTGTCATAAATTTCGTCATCAATGTTTTTATTTCAGGTTGCGCATCAAGATTATGCACAGTATGTCATGAGTTTTGGTTTGTTCCCGAGCCGTACATGAAATAAGCAAAAAATTCAACATTTGTCAAAATTACACAAGCCAAACAAGACTTAGAGCCAATTCTATATATTTTCAATTTTCAAATTTCATATAACATTACACTCATTATTTCAAATCTCACAAGTCAAACTCAATTCTCTCTCCATTTTATCTCAATTACTCGAGAACATTGAAGAGCAAAGTTGCACAAAAACTTAAGAATTTGCATCTCCCTCCTTACTCTCAACCACAAATCTCCACCGAACTTCCCTCTCTCTCCAGTGTTCCTCCCTGCACCACCTGCCAAAACCGGCAGCCCCTCCGCCCTTGACCTCCGTCTCTGTGCGATTCTGTTCCGCTTCCAACTCCCTCCGCGCGAATACTCCCTCTCAGTTTCTCCCTCCTTCGCACGATCTCGCAGTCTCCTCACTCCGATCTTGTGATTTTTCGGCACAAATCTCCTTCTGTCTTGTTTGCAGATCTTCCCTCCGATTCAATCCTCTTCGTAGCATTTCGTTTAACTCTTGATCCTCGATTGATTTAAGTGCTTCTTAGATTAGTTGATTTTTTACATAAGTTGAATTCTTGATTTGTAAGGGATACTTGATTCTTGAATTGATAATGATGAATAAGTGTGGAATTGGTTGAATGATGATTTAATCAGTGTGGATCTTGATTCTAATCGGTAAAATTGATGTTAATTTTGAATTTCGAATTTTGGATCTAAGTGTTGATTATGGAATTAGGATGAGAATTGATTTTTCTTTCACGAGTTAATGCAATTTTGAATCGATTTGTTGATGAACTCGCTTTTTCGATGTTAAAAACCTCAAATCCAATAAATTGCATTCACACTTGAACATTGATTATTTTTCTTGAAATTGACACTTTATTATGGAATTATTTGTTTGCAAAAGTGTTTGTAATTTCTAAGCAATGATGCACTAATCAGTGAATGTTTTTGTGCATCCATTTGTAAGTTTTAAACTCATTTTTGTCCGATTCTGATACATGTATGTGTTACTGCTCGGAAAATACAAACGCGTGGCAAATGGATTTTCAAATGTTTTTTGATGCTTACTTGTGCATAATTTTGCATTTATTGATTGTTAATGTTGAGATTTATTGCTTTCG